CTGCAGCGTCTCCGGGTGCTGGCTTCCCAGCTTGGCCGTTCGACCCTCCAAAGTCTGGCGGTTTAGTTGCTCGGCCTCCTCGAAGCGGCCCTGTGCTTGCAACTCCTCCGCCAAGTTGCCCATCGATGTCAACGCTTTCGGGTGCTGGTCTCCTAGTTTGATCTTGCCACTGCACGCTAAGCCGATGAACAACTTGGCTGGGCTGCTTTAAGCAGCACAGCCACGTTGTTGATCGACTGCAGCGTCTCCGGGTGCTGGCTTCCCAGCTTGGCTGTTCGACCCTCCAAAGTCTGTCGGTTAAGTTGCGCGGCCTCCTCGAAGCGTCCCCCAGCCTGGAGCACCTTAGCCAAGTTGTTCATCAGCCCCACCGTGTCGGGGTGCTGGCTTCCCAAGAATCGCTCTGCTTCTTCGTGGCGTGCCTGAGCCTCCAACAGTGCAGCCAAGTTGATCATCGACACCATGGTCTCTGTGTGCTGGTCCCCTCAGCTTCTTCGTGGTGCCCTTGTGCCTCATCGATACCAGGGTCTCGAGGTGATCTCCCAGCTTGGCCCAGCATCCCTCCAGCCTGTCGCTGGAGCTGCTCGGCCTCCTCATAGCGCCCCTGATCCTTGAGCAAATCGGCCAAGTTGTTCACGCCCGCCAGGGTGTCGGGGTGCTGATCTCCCAGCTTGGCCCTACGACCTTGCAAGCACTCCCTGTTGAGCTTCTCGGCTTCGTACTTGGAGCGACCCCTCAACCTTATCGCGAGCTCGAATCTGCAGGCCAAGGTTGGTTCGGTATCTTCACCCAGCTCTCGTCGGAGGTTGGCCAAGCGCATCCGGAGCAGTTTGAGCAAACCGTCCGCCTCAGCGCCGGCTCGCTTGACCTGGCCATCATCGTCACCTGCGAACCCAGACGTCACGTCTGTGATCCACTTTCCAGCTTCGATAGTCCTCTCCTAGATTGATCCTGCGCTCGTCTCCCGTTGCCGTGTCACGAATGATCTTCTGTGCGAGGTCAGGCGTCTGCCTCTTAAAGATGCTGTAGGCGAGCTCCATCGGGGCTAGGATGGGAATGCAGAAATCATCCCGATGGCCGCAAGAATTGCCATTGCCCCATTCCTTCTCTACTCGCTGAGACTCGGCATCCGGGGTGTCTCGGAGTGGACTCACATTGCTGTAGTTGTTTAGCAGAATACGTGTCCGCGAGCCCCATACAGCTGGCTCGTGTTGAGTGCAGTAGAGCCCCCTTCCAAAGTGGGCTCGCTCGTCCAGTAAGGAGGCAAAGAGTTCTGCGGTCTCTTGTTCCACGTTCGCTACATTGCGGAAGGCCAGCTCATTCGTAAAGTGGTACAAGACGCAAACGTCATCTGGACCCAAGATGACCCAAGCCGTGCTGGATGTCACGCAGATCTAAAGCGTAGGCCCAAACATGCACTCGGCCCACGAGCATCTTCAGCTCGTCTGGGCTGCCCTTCGAGTACAACGAAAGCGCGTGGGGTTTGCCTTCCAAGTATGGGCCACGGAAGTACTTCGATAGCTCGCAGTGGCCAAGGGCCTCGGCAACTGCCGGGTCGACCT